TGATTGGCTGATCGCCTTTGCTGGGGGCATCAGACCGCTGTGGAGTCCCACGGTGAGTGCGATGAGACCTTTATAAGGCTCTTGCGCTTAGGAGGGGGCATATAGCACAAGCACGGGAGGATGGGCACCCCAATCGGGGACAGGTGGCTACGGACGCCCACTGACGCCCTGGACGGCCTCCCGCGAAGCTGGAAGTGTTACAAGCAAGCAAAAGGTATATCAAGCTCTTTCTCGCCGCGAATCGCTCGCCGGCCGCCGATGCATGGTGCATGGCCTACGGGACTGCCGTGATCTATGGTCACTCAGCTCCGCGTTTTCTGGTCATTAGCACCGGTTACAAGCACACAAATACAGCGATATATGCCCCGTTGCACCTCCTAAGCGTCAAGCATCAACCCCATTCGTGGAACTAAGCTCCCAACGATCTGGTGCTCCCCCAGCACGCCTATTGCATATTGCAGAACGCAGAACCTTCCAAGGATCACAAGGCAGTACGTCCAAGAGCTAGGCTTTAGTGGCTTTGACGAGGCGCAACGCGCCCTGTNCTGCACAGCCAACATCACCGCACTCACCGGCGCAGGAGCAACAGCAGGCGCTGTTCCCGTCACCACCGCGTTGGGCAGATAACCCGCTTTACACTTTGCCAGACAGCCCTGCGCTTGCGCCAGCAACTGGGGCAGAGCCGCAACTGCTAGGCAGCGACCCGCCGCGTGCACCAGCGCCCTTCAGCGCCGGCNCCGGCGCCGCTCGCTCCAGCAACGCCAAACATCGCTTACCGCTCAACCATGTCTGGCTCTACCACCTCCTTTGCCCATGTTCCCAATGACTGCAGGAATGCCTTGGACTCGCAGCAGCACCTGCAGTTCGAGCGCTTCGCGGCAGTCATTCGGGCCTACGCCGCCACCGTCATGGATGTTGGTGGGGGCAAAACGGTTCCGCAGGCAATCGCACTGCTCAACCATGTGCAGCTGCAAGTCATGCGGCCAGGAGGGCGCGCCGCGCAGATCTGGTGCAGCCTCATGGGCACGGCAGAGATACGCAGTGACTGCGCCAGTGCTGACAATGGGGACTTCCCCAGCCCCACTCCCCAGCGCGCAACGCTTGTAGCGGCGGTTGGTGGGCAAAAGGGGTGCCTCACAGACCTTGTGTGGCTCAAGCGCCTGGGTGAGGAACTGCAATCGCAGCTCCCACCGCAGCAGGCCACTCACGCGCTGCCGCCATCCCTTTCCCAGCACTCTGTACCCACCGAGCAGGAGGCTTTCGACATGGTCTTCAACAGCGACGCAACGGCGGGGCTGGCCCTATCGGGCCTGGGCTCTGCCGTGCCGACTCAGGCTCAGGGGGTCCTAGAGGGAGGGGCCGCGCTAGCGGAGGCAGAAGAGTACCAGGATGTTAAAGAGGAGGCCCCTGGCCAGCCTGCGCAGGACAAAACCCTCGCCATCTTGCAGGGCCTGCTCACTCACTTGGTCAACCAGGGCAGTGCTAACTCCACGCGCCGCCTGGTCACCCTCCGCGCCAACAGTCACGGCGAGAACTTCTCTGCTGTCACCGCCGTGGTGCACAAGGTGCTGCTCATCCTCAAGGCGGTGCTGCACCCAGACCCTCAGGCTGCGGTCAACACCTTCCTCGCCCTGCGCCAGCAGTCCAGCCAAGACGAGCACGCCTTCATGTCAACGGTGCTCAGCGCGTCAAGGCTGGTACGGGGTGCACTGTCCATGGCAGACATGTGCAGGGTGGCGGTGCGCGGGCTGTCCAACACCGCCCTGGCCGCCAGGGTCAAGGCGCGGCTGGAAGTGCAGGCAGCAAGCACTTGGTCACTCGACCTCGTATCCTCGCTGCTTTATGACAGCCAGCAGGAGATGCGCGAGGCCGCGCACTTCCAGATCCGCCTGCAGGCGGCAGGGGCAGGGGGCAGTGCCAACCCGGGAGCCCGTCAGCCGCCTGCAGACCCGCACGCCAAAAACGAGCAGAAGCTGGCCGCCATGCGCTACCTGGCCGGCCTGGATGACACGAACCCTCATGCCACCTGCCTCTCCCACAAGCGCGGCGTTCACACCAACGCTGAGTGTGCTTTA